CCGCCGGGCACCATCCCGCGCTGCGATTGGTCGAGCTCCCCGTCAGTCTGGCGGGGGGGGACGGGCCCGCTGGTTCCCATTCACGCCTGTTGTGGGAGCGTGTCCTGAAGCTAAGCAGGGTCGGGCCCGTCCGTGGCGTGGATGGGTGGCGGCTTGCGCGGTGTCTGCCGGGCAGCCAGAAATGGGCCGCGAGTGCCTTTTTTGGGGGGGAGAAACGAGCCCAATTCGCAGCTCTTCTTGTCCTCGCGTTAGGGTGTGTCTCCCCACGTTTGCCCTGTCCTCCAGCACGAGCCCCCTTCCCCTCCCGCCATCTCTGGCACCGCGGTGGCACCCAGGGTGCTGGCATGGTTGGGTGCGTTCTCCCGCTCGCCGGGGCCTGTGGCCTCCCGCGGCCACCCTTGCACCCGGGAAGAAGCCCAGGCTTCTGTACACCCATCCCATCCTAAACACAGACCAGAGTTTTGCAAAGCTCAGCCGACATCATCCTGTGGTTCGCGGAGCGCGGCCTCCAGAGGTACGCAATGGTGAAATAGCAACACTCGGGCTGGGAGCGCGCGCGGCGAGGCAGGGCCTTACCTAGGTAGGAAAGATCTAAAATCCCTGATGTTGTACCCGCCTTGCTGCCTCGGTTAATGAGGTGCAGAGCTGCCTGGCCGTGCCTGTGGTTTGTAGGAGAGGTTTCATCCTCGTTCCCGCTGGTGTTGCATGCAGCAGGGCACGGCTGCGTGTGGCTTATGGCACGTCACGTGTTTCCAGAGGTTTCCAGAGGTTTTGTGCCTTGTGCTTCGCGCACCTGAGCCTCACCAGGCTCCTCTTCCCGCTCGCCCGGTGCCCCAGCAGCTGCTTTCCCAGCCCTGTGACACATTGGCTTGAGGAGCTCTTCGCCCTCCGTCGGCAGCTTTCTGTGGCCGTCCCGCCTGTCCAGTGACTGAAGTGAATAAAAGGTCACGCAAGAAATATCACAGAGGCGTTTTTCATGGCAGCACAGATGTCCGTTTATATTTTATTTCCCTCCCGGGTGTGGCACCGTGTCTCAGCTTAATAGGTTTAGCTGTGCTTGGGGAGATTTTTCTTTTCTTTCCCTCTGACATGATTAGGTTTGTGGAAACCAGAGCCAAGCAGAGAGGAGACGCGGTGCTTAATCACTGTTATTTCCCAGCCCAGCGGTTCAGCCTGCCCTTTGTCAGGAAAAGGTGTGTTCTTGAGCTCTCTTCATATCCTAACGTGGGCATTGCACCTCTGCAACCCCGAGGAGTTAAAATGCAGTTACCTGCCCCGACTAGGGCGAGCGTTGAAGTGCAAGAAGCAAACCTGGCAGCCTGGGAAGTGTCCTGTAATGAATATACTTAGAGAGTTCAGCTTGCTTGGGAAATAACGTTAAAAGCATGGCTGACGGGCACAGTGATAACGAGCGCAAGCCAGGGAGGCTTTGGAGCTCTCCGGCAAATCTCCTGTCCCCCCAAAACCTAATGGGGGATCCATCTAGGAGAGAAAAGACCAAGCAGTAGGAAAGGTGGTGGTTTTCTTTCCTGATGCACGTCGGCTCTGTTGATTTTTGTGCCGTTGTGTTACGCTGGGGTGTGGGGCTGTTTCTGGTCACCCCAGCTGAACGCTGTCCCCAAAAATGGGGCAGGGGAAATGCTTTGAGCCGCTGGGGTTTGCAGAGCAATGCTTGGAGTCCTGCCTCTGCCCAGTTCGTGTTAAGAGTCACTAGATCTTGGCTCTGAGATTTCAAACATAAAAATATTACTTAGCGAGAGGAATACTTCCTTTCCTTTTAAGGACAGGAAAGAGGAATTGCGTTTCCTCTGCCTCGGTCCCGTGTCAGCACTGGGAAGTGGCTGCACCGCTGTCCACTGCAGCCGCCCGAGTTGATGTCCCAAAGAAAAATCCCACTTCCGTATTTGTCACGCTTTCCTTTGTGCGGAGAGGGCTTCTGTCCCATCTCCGGTGTCTGCGGAGGGTTTATTCCCGTTGTAGGTAAAAGACAGTGGAAAGGCAGAGACAATGGCACAGGCTCTGCTCCCTGGAGCTGCTGCGAGCCCGGCGGGATTTGTTGGTTCACAGGCAGCGAGTGGCAGCGGTGAGACCGAGGATTTGAGTGCCCCAGCCCCGTGAAACACCTCTGTCATTGGCAAAACCACCTGGGGAAGCGGGTTTGGGTGGGAAAAGCTTGGGGACGGTCCTGCGGCACGAACTGGGTTGTTGATGGATGGGGTGTGGAGAAAGCAAAGGGGCTTTTCTTGGTGGGACAGTGGGCAGCTGCCTGGTTTGGCAACTCCTGCCTGCACGTACACCGTGAGAGGATGTTCTGGGGACAACCGCCATGCTCTAACAAGCAGAATTTAGTTTTAGGTGTTACGTGGAGCACAGTAATGGCACGCTTTGCTTCAGGACCCATGCTCTGCCATCTGCAGAGCCTCCCTCCTCGCTCCGGCCCCTAATGAGATTACAGCCTAAGTACCGCGCCCGATTAGCCCCAGGTTTGGCAGAAGGATTTTCCAGCACCTAAATACAGCAGAGCAGGGATCTACTGTTTCTCATCTGACACCTTTCAGACTAGAAAGCAAGGCTGTGCAGTGGAGGAATTCCAAACCGCACAAGACCTTGTCTGAATCTGCATTTCCAGTTTGGGTTTTGAGGAAGAACCAGCAGTGTTTGGTACCATTTGCTGTCATAGGTGTGAGACGGCCTGAGAGCCCGAGCGTGGCATTTCAGTTTGCGTCACGAAAGATGCTTTTTGATTGCCGCAGCACGTCCGCTATGGGAGATAACTCCCAGCCTCTGCCGTTGAAATCCCCCCGTGTTGACCCAGAGCTTCCCACCGCGGCTGAGGGAGCTGTGGGGAGCCGGCCACAGCTGGAGTTGTCCTCCCTTGTGCTTTCCTCCCCCGCCTTGCAAAAATAAAGCTCTTGGACCTGGGAATACAGCGGGAGCGTGCACAGATCCAGGCGATAGATACGCGGGTACCAAGCACCAGTTTGTTACTGGATGCGTCTGGTGTTTCCCAGCCTCCAGAGGGGCTGAGCTGGTGGAGGTCAGTGAGTCTGAGTGGGTCTCGCCTTGAACAAACCCGTCCGGTTTATTTAGGTACTTCCAAAAGTCTATTTTCAAGATCGCTCGGGTTATGGGTATTATTTTCTGTGTAGTCATTGGTGACGGCTCCTTTCCCTTGAACTCGAGGAGCCGTCTGGTAGCAGGGAAGGGGTTTGCGGCGAAAGGTAACGGCCATGACGGCGGCGATGCCCTTCCCAGGAGAAGGGAAAAGTGTTTTCCTTCATCGGAGGGCAAACTGTTGCCATCCCGTGGGTAATCGGAAGATGTTTCACACAACGGGAGAACAAGAGCCATAAGCGCGGTCCTGGCGGTGGGCTGTTGGACAGGAGCTGGCCTGGCAGTTAACCCTTCCTGGGGGGTGAAACCGGCTTCAGCCCTGGCAGCTTCATGGGTCGCATTGGCTGCGGTAGCTGGGATTTTGGATGGTGGTGGCTCTGTCCCACGGCACTGGTGGGGCAATGCCGTTAATTTGGGGAGCGTCCGAGGGGCTGCAGCTACGCTGGGGCGTAAAGAAGGAGATATTTGCTTTCCTAAATGGACTATAAAATAGAAAATACCTATAACTGTTGCTTCCCTAGGTGTAACGAGAGGGACCTTTGGGTTTTCCAGCATTTTCCTACATTTCCTTTGCTGGTGGCTCATCTGCCAGGTTGATTTTCATCTCCTGGCTGGAGCGGGCCCTTTCCCACAGTGCCTGGGAATGCAAAACCTCATCCCACCTTATGCCACCCTGATTTCTTCCAGGTCACGACAGCTTTGCTCATAAATCAGGTAGGATTTTTCTCAGCGCTTTTACCTGCAAGTCCAACGTGGGGCTGAAGCGATATTGGTTGGGCTGAACTCATTAGCGGCAAGCTGGGAGTTGGCAGCTCTGATTTATGAAGCAAAGCGATGCCGACTGAATACACAGGGGCCGGGAGGATTTTGTTTGTCGCATCTGACACCTGCAGCATCCCAGCGTGGAGGTGACCTGGGAAAACGTGTCCGTCTACTTTGGAAGGGGCGGCTTCCAGCGTCTGCCCTCAGATGTGCTCTCAAACCCTCCTTGTGCCGTCACTTTGTGGTGTTAAAATTCGTAAGAAATCAGTTGAATGTCTCTATTGCAGCTCTGCGGTGGATGGTTTGGCTCATCCCAGGGCCTGGATGCGGCTGTCCCAGCTGGCTGGGGATCTGCCAGGTCTCGCCCATGCTCCTCCACAAGGAGTTAAATAAAACCCCATCACACATTTGTCACCAAAATCAATAGCGGTGTCGGCACCGCTTTGCCGTAATTACTTCTGCTGTCATGTCAGAGCTCGCGTCTCTCCGGGTGGAGGTAAAGCCCTTTCCCGGTGGTGGGAGGAAAGGTGAGATGCATCCCCCCAGGGACGGGTCGCCAGTGCTGCGGGATGCTGATCCCCACCGAGCTGCGGCTTCGCAGCTGCTGCTCTCTCTGCTCCGCTGCGAGCGCTTAGTGTGCTTCTGGAGAAGAGGGGGAGCTTCTCATCGAGCCCCCTTTTGTGGAGCAGCTCGCCCTGTGCAACTGCTTGTTCCCCGTGCTGGTGAGCAAACGCTTGCTGTCTCCCGGTGTTTCACATGGGGCTCTGCTGATAGACGGGAATCTTTTTCCCCAGCAAATGCTGTCTGCAGAGTCTGTGCTGCTGTTCGGGTTTTGTCCGGAGGAAAGCCTTCCCCAGCTCAGCTGCTCCGTGTCCTGCAAACCAGACGTCTCTGCTCCGCAGGGCGATGGCTGCCCGTCACGTCGGGTTTCTGCGCCGTGAGCGCCGGCGGCCTCGCTGTCCGCAGGCATCTCCACAGCCAGCCTTCCCAGCTGCATCCCTCAAAAAAACATTTCTCTATCCACTTTCCCCTGGTTTCAAAACTCACTTGCTGCTCAGTCCGGGGATTTTTTTTAAACCTTATTCCCTTCCCAGCTCTCTTCTTTTCCTGGCCTTGCTGAAATAAATAGTTGGATGCTGCTCCAACATATTTTCCAGCCTGTTCTTTCTCTTCCCTGCTCCACCCTCTTCACTGCTATCTTGTGTTTGGTAAAGACATCAAGCTGGTCTGGGAGCAGGTGGTACTCGGGGGGTTTCCAGGCTGGCCGGTGCCTTCGGTTCACCGTCTGCCTCTGGGCAGATCAGAACCGTGTCATGGTCCCTGCTGTGAAAGCGGCGATCGTTTTTGGGGTGCAAGGAAGGAGACACCTCTATATCATAGAGTAAATAATACACTGGTTTGGATCCCCAAGCTGAGATTTGGGGAGAGAAGAGGACGAGGTCCCCGGGCGCAGGAGGGCAGGGACGCGTTCCCACAGCGTCCCGGCTGGCGGGGGGTCCCTGGGGCTGGTGGGGCAGACCCAGTCCCGCAGAGCTCGTACTGGTTTCCAGCCAGACCCGCTCCGGTGTGGGTGACGGTGCCTGCCAGCAGTGGGCCTTGCGGTTGTAGGTGCTGTGGATGTGGTGCTTGATGCAAAGAGCAGCTCCCACCCGGGATTCTCCGTGGCTTTCCTCGCTCTGGCCTCTCCCCGTCGAGCCAGACATAGGTTATCATCCTCGGTGAAAACAGAAGAGGAAAGATGCTGCGGTTTTATTGCAAAACAAACTTGGCAGCACTGACAGGGACAGGACAGAGCCGAGCGATGCTGCTGGTACACGCCATCCCCCCAGCTTGCTTTGCAGAAGACCCCTCGTGCGTGTCGGCATCTGGCAAAGCGCCCCTGGCCCGGTGTCCCCCTTCTTAGCCCTCTGCTCGGTCCCGCTCCAGCCGTCCCTGGAGTTGAATTTCCACCTGAGCCATGACCCTCTCGGAGGCTGTAACCTTGTTTTGGGGGCTACTGGCAGGGAGGCTCCCGGCTCGTGGTGACCCAGCTCTGCAGCAGTAACGTCGCCTGTCCTGCATCAGGGTGTCTCATGCAGGGATGAGATCACATACGCCATGCCGGGAGCAGGCACCTCTCCCGTGTTTTGGCGTCAGGTCGCTGCCGGACTTGCCCGTGGGCAAGGCTGGCCTCGGTGCGGGGTTTCACACCTGCGGCTGCTTTGGGGTCATCATCGTCTGGATGTCCGGGGCTGCCCTGCATCCCTGGAAGGAGGAGCGATGCCCTGGCACAGGCGCTTCTCACCCCATGCTCCCAAAGAGATTTGCTGCTCGGTCTCAATTTTCCAGCTCCAGCATAACAATGTAATATTTTTCCACTATAACAGCCACCCGTCTCCCTAGATCATCGCCTCTGCAGGTGGGGTGACATTTGGCGCAGTGTCCTTGGCCACTGACCCCTCTGTGGCGCCTGGACCTGCTGCGGTGCCTTATCCCCAGGGCCAGACCAGTGTTTGCTGCTCCCACGTCCATCCTTGGGCTCAGAGAGGAGGAAAAAGCCTGAGCTGGGCATCCCCACCGCTCCACAGGGTGGATTTGGGCACACGCGGCCGAGCGGGGTGATGTGACGGCAAAGACGCGGTCCGGTGCGGGGCATGCTCCCCACCGCTGAGCAAACCTGCAGGGTGGGAGATGTTGGTGCTGGTCCCCTTCTGGGAGCTCGCACGGAGCTCGCTCTGGGAGGGGTGCCAGGGAGAGGGTACACGGCTGCACCCTCCGTGCACCGAGTATTCCCCCTCCTGGAGACTTGGACTCAGAGCAGAGAGCTTGTATTTTCTTTAGAGAGCTTCAGAAACCCTATAAATGTTCTCCAAGAGAAAACCCCAAGGCTTCAATGATGTTTCTTTTGTTCCTAGCGGCTTGAGTCCAGCAAATGAGAGCGGAGCCAAAAAGAAGAAAAAGAAACCCAAACGGAAGAAAGAGAAAGGAGGAGATCAGCCTGACCAGGCTCAGGACCAGGCAATGAAGGTGACCAACCCCTTCGTGGAGTTGCGGCCCCACACAACAGCCAGCCCCATCCTGAACCTCTCCGATGTAGCTTAGGGCAAGGAAGGAGTCTCCTGGTCCTGGTTTTAGGCACTTGGCTGCTCAAAAAAGTTAAGGTTTAGAGTAATTTCCCTGCCTGGCTCCGTGCGTGGGAATTCCCGTTGCTGCGGAAGGTGTTTGCGGAGCACTCCAGGGTAAACGCGGTCCTTGGCTGGATATCCCAGCCAGTTCCTGCGCTGCGGTGAAAGGGTCAGACTGGTGCCTCCGAGTTATTCTTTCCAGACACCAGCTGCCTCCTCGCAGGCAGGGAACCGCCACGCTGCCACCTGCCAGCTTCCTCTCCTGCCCACAGCCAGCACAACGAACGCCTTCTCCTACTTCTTGGGCGACATCTGATGTTGTTGATTTTTGCTTGATTAACATAAGAACAGCAGCTGGGTCAGAGCAGGGTCTGTCTTACCCCTCTTGGCTTTGCCCAATCCTGACTGGCAGCCAGTGCTTTGGGAAGGAGCATGGGACATGCAAGGTTTGTCCCTCCCAGCACTGGCAGCCACCCCTCTTGTCCCCTCTGGTCCTGTGGCAGGACACACACACAGGTCTTGCACATCAACAGAGGCTGTTTTCTGTCCAACGCCCAGTTCGCATCCAAATATTTCTAATATTTTGTTCTTCTGACTGTGCAGAGCATTAAACTGGGGCTTTGAGCGTTTCAAACTAACTTCACCGGGAATCAGGGAGGAGCTGGGATTGTGAATTCAGCGCAGAGCTGCCCACCCTGCCAAGCTCTGCCTGAGGAGCAGGAGGAAAGTGTCCTTCATCTTGACTCAGCCTCTCCACCTTGTCCTGGTCCATGGTGCCCAGGGACTCCTCTGGAAGCTGCAGTTTGTGGATACGGATCCAGCTTAGATGGAGGACGCTGAGGCAGTGAGAGAGAAAAGCCACTGCAGAAAGCCCAAATGCTGGGTGTGGGTTGACCCAGGGTGTCTCTGCATGGGTGTTAGCCAAGGTGAGGCAGGGAGGTTTGCTCTTGGGCCTTACAGCACCCTCCTTAACTGAAGCTTAAAGCATTTTAAGGCACTTCATCTATCCCCTTTGACCCAGGAGCGCCTAGAAGACAGGTCTAGGTGTGTGGCAGGTGCCTGGTAAAAGGGTTCATCCATCTCGTAGAGGGTTACGAGGGAATCTAGGCTGGGAAGTGAGTCTTCTGCCTGCTCTCCCCTTCCTGGCAGGGTCAGCTCCAGCTTCCCCTAACGAGGAGCTGAAATACAGACCTGGTGGCTCAGCTTACTCATTTTGTCTTTCCACCCTCCTTTTCTGCCCTCAGGTGAACTCTTTACCTGCTGAGAGGATCCAGGAGATTCAAAAAGCCATCGAGCTCTTCTCTGTAGGTCAGGGCCCTGCCAAAACCATGGAGGAAGCCAGCAAGAGGAGCTACCAGTTCTGGGACACACAGCCAGTGCCCAAGCTAGGTACGTACAGCCCCTCGCCGTTTCGTGGTCCTTGGGAGAAGCCTTGTGGTCCCCAGGCTGCTCAAAGAAGCTGGTCTCTGGCCAGCAAGCAAGTCCCTGGACGGCCCCTCACTGCTGTCCTATCTGAGCTTCAAAGGCATCAATGACACTTGTCTATTGTTCAGCATCATGGCCTGAGTGGCCAGCTCTGCCACCGGAGAGCTGTGCAGGCGGCTGGGGGGTTGAGGAGCCATTTCAGACATCCGATTTGATGCCTCCTGCATTTGGGCGTCCCTTAATCTCAGTCTTTAGCCTTTGAAATGGGTCTCCCCAGCCCTCTGTGCCCAGGCTTCATGTGGGGTGTTGGCAGCCTTCCTCTTGCTAAGTCCTAGGGCAGCTAACCAGCTCTCCCCTTTCTGGGGATTGAAGCTTCCCAGCAAGGGGATCCTTGGTAGGGAAGGTAACTCAGGGTGAGACAGGGCCAGCCAGCGATGGGAGCTGCTCAGGGAAGCAGGTCCATGTGCTGAGCTGCCACATCGTTGGTTTGCTGGGCTCACATCAGCCTCTGGCACGGGCAGGCGCTGGGGCTGAGCCAGGAGAGCTGGGAGAGGGGAGGCACAGGCCTCACGAGCATCTGTACCCCCAAGCTGCCATGCCTCTCTGGAGATGGGGAATCCTATCTCTTCATCCCTTCTTCCCCCTGCAAACAGCCTGGCTGTGCTTCCCAGCTCTAGTCCTTGCTCCAGCCCTTTCTGCAGTTTGCTCTTGACGCTGTCAGCCTACGTCAAAAATGATCCGCTGTCGGTAGTGAGGCGTTTCTCAGCGTGGCAGGAGCACGCAGCTCTGAAAGGAAGAGGGGCACGCTGACACAGAGCTGCGTGGCTGGAAGGCGCTCGTTCCTGAGCTAATTGGAGCAAACCTGCAGCGCTCCCGGGGTGCCCGGGATTGCTTTGCTTAGTCTCTCCACCCCTGCATCCCCCAGCAAAATCCACGCAGAGCTGAGGAGAACTAGAGAATGAGTCCAAGCGCATAGTTTCTAGATTTACCCGAAGCTTGTCATGGCTTCAAATTGGCTGCTCGTCAGTAATTTCCTTCATGGGGTTGTGTCCGACCCCTCTTGCTGCAAACACCGTGTTTGATTCCCTTTTCATGTTGTCAGCACCAGTCTGAGGCTTTCTTTGGTCTCCAAGGCTGTTTGCTGGGAGCGATGGTCTCAGCTTCATGCTGGGAAAATCATAGTGAGATGGCACGGGGTTATGTGAGACAGCAAAGTCTGATCTTGCATTTGCCCTTTTTCCCAGAGTATCCTGGAGATGGCAAACATCATTTCTGCTTGGGTAAACCCTGGAGGACGGGTGGAAGGTATCTTCTGGGGAAGGAGAAGCACAAAACAGCCCGCTCCTCCGTACACCAAATTGCTGGCTGTGCTCTGGCTGCCAGCCCCTCGCTGGGTCCTGCCATCTCTCGTGGTCCTTGCTCAAGAGCACTCTCTGGAACACGGCGTTACATACGCGAGGCTGTTTAGGGTCGGGTAACAAAAGTGCTGTGGGATTTTTGGGGCCAGATTTCAGAGCAGTTCAGCACCTGCTCAAAACAGAGAGGACGGCCAGGGGTGAGCGTTTCTGGAAGCTGCCCTGGGTGGGTGTGATGGGGGCAGTTCTTGCTCTGGGCTTTCTTCACCTCCCCATTGCCTGGAAACCTTTTCAATCCCTTTCTAAGGGAATTCCTAATTAGCGCGGCTTGCTTCTCTTGGCAGCACTCGAGTGATGCCGCTATGTTGACATCCCTGAGAAAGCCAGTGTTTGAACCGACATCTCTGGGCTGAATTGGGGGCTTTTGGAGTCAGTGTTTTTTCAACAAAAGTTGTCTTGTTCGCTGCAGCTCTTCTTTAAGTGCAGTGGGAAGGAGACCCTGGCGCTTGCCAAATGGCAGGGGCCAGAGCTGGCAGGGGGGGGGGCGCCCTCCGAGGGGGCGGCTCATGGGGAAGG